CATAATCTATGGGTTGATTAATATCTATTATTTTTCTTTCATGTTAGCACAAATCTAGTTACCAGAAGACTTACAATAAAATTTTTAAATAATCTTGGTCTTGAAAAAAAGCTTTAAAAGGTTGGGGGGGGTGCAGGGAATAACTTCTTATTCAACTAATCTATGTGGGGATGAAAAAGATAAGACATATTACAAAGGCAAAACAGAACAAAATTTGTCATGTTAGGGGCAGGACTTGGTTAATATTTTTAAGGAAGAATTTTGAGCCAGATTGTCATCATCAACAAAACTTTGTCTTTTGGATTCCTGCTCACTCAGTACTCACACACTTACTGAAATAAATATTCTTCTAAATACATGACTGGCTCATGAATTTGTCTCTGACCTATACAGGGCTTGCTCTTTCAGTGGGGGAGATGTCATCCTGAGACTGCAGAGGGGACAAGTCAGCTCCCATTAAAGTACATCCCAGATTAAGTGGTTTTGTTGTTGTTTGTTTGCTGCATTCTGTTGTTTGGAGATGCTATCTCACTGGGTAATGCTTACCTCCCAGATAAGCCAGCAACTTTCAGTCCAGAACCACAGGTGTACACAGCCACACCCAGCTCTTTAATGACAAAACGAGGTGAGCTCTCACCCTGAGAGCCTGAGATCATGTGATGATGGACAAAAAAAAAAAAAAAAAAAAAAAAAATTATCCTTCCCGACGTACTAAAAAAAATAACTGCTTTGCTATTTGAATATTTCTAAAATATTTTATAATCTTGATGCTTCTAATGACAGTTTCATTTGTATTGTTATCCTACTGCACAGATTAAATATTGAGGCTCCTTCTTAAATCTGATGATGTCTTGTTACCTTAACAATTAAATAAATTTTGGTTGATCAGAAATCATTTTGATAAATGCAATCTCCAAGATATAAAAAGCATTAAAATTAAGCAATGCACTCTCACAAAAGGTGGGATTTTAAAAATCAATTCAAGACAAAGAGGAAAAGGTTAACACAGGACTTCTTCACATAAAAATTATGGACCACTAGAGAGCAATATGGCTCAGCCAGTAAAGGTGCCTGCCACCAAGTGTGATAACCTGAGATGGATCCCTGGAACTCACATGAGGAAGAAAAGAACAGAGTTCTACAACCTGCCCTCTGAGTCTCACACACACACAATTAACAAAAAATATATTTTAAAAAAATATGAACCACACAATTTTACTTTCACTTTACAAAAGACTTTAAATCACTGTACCTTCAATAGTTAAGCATTAAATTTAAACACAGTGTTTAAAATTTTTAAATCTAATTATTCAAACACCACTGGTAGTTTAATAAATCAACATTTGTATTAATTATATTTTGAGAATATACATTTCACAGTTTCTTATCTATATTTTGATATTTATAAAAAAATTATTCTACCAATTAATAAGACAAAGAATAAAACATCCATATCATTTTATTTGAAATTCTTACATTTTTTTGGGGAGTGAGAGCGTTATATCAAAATTTAACTTGAGGGCCAGTAAGATGGTACAGTAGGTAAGGGAGCTTACCACCAAGCCTTCAGACCTGAGTTCAATCCCCAGGAGTCCTGAAAGATACCTTCTGACCTTCACAAGCGTGCACATGCATACCAACACACATACAAAATAAATGGGGGAATAAAACCCTCTTAACTTGAGTTCTCTTAGCGAATATACTCTCAATGAATATAGTTTATTAAATAGAAATAAAAAGAAACAATAAAATTGAGTGCCAGGGGGAAAATAGCTCAGTGGTAGAGCACTTGCTCAGCATGTATGAGGCTGAAAGTTCAATTCCCCATACTGAATAAAATAATACTAAATGCTGATAAGAGATCCAATACCAAATTAGCTACTGAGAATTTAAAAAGTGGTTAATTAATGCTACTGAGAGACTGAACTTTACATTAATTTAATTTTCATTAATTTTAATTGTTTTATTAAATTTAATATTTGAAACTGTTATTCAATTCAGTTATTGAGAAAATTTTAACTTAAAATTTTAAAATTTTAAGTTGAAATAAATTCTGGGTCCGTGAATCTACTCTTTAACTGACAGTTTTGTTAAATTGATCATGAAAAGTCAGTGTCTGTGATAATACTTACCACATCAGATTTCAAAGACAGTACAAAAGGAGAATAAAAACATCTGTTAATGAGTTTTAAAACCAATATATATTAATTTGATAATGCCTCATACATTGGGGTAAATAAAGTATAAAATCTCACTAACGTGTTCTTGTATTTCATATTACTACCAAAAATCTTGAATTATATAAAGGTGATAAATTTTATTTCTCTTGGACAGTACTGCCTTAGATAAAACCTAAAACTTCTGCTAAATTCTATTTATTTATTTATTTGTTAATTTTCAAGACAAAGTCTCATATAGCCCTGATCTGGAACTCACTGTGTAGCAGGGATTAATCTTGAATTCATAAAGAACTGCCTATCTCTGCCTCCTAAATGCTGGAATTAAAGGTATGCTGTAGGCAGTAAATAAAGTCTTGAGCTAATCAATTCCTGAGTGATTGTATATTGTTTGAAATGAGCCCGTCATGTCAGGCATGAAGGCCTCAGACCCATGTGAAATTGGGCAGGTCTTCCCCTTATGGGTCATGTTCAGAGGAATCGGTCTAAGTGTGAATGTTGGCAATGAATGCAAATATAGAAGCTTACCGACAACAGACCATTGTGCGTAAAACCCAGCAACTGCAGCTTCCTCCTCCTGTAAGACTGCATCCTGACACTGCTCCCTTACAGAGACCTGTGATGTGACACAAACTAGCTAACTGCTGACCTTTTGTTTTACAGAACATGCTGTATGTCTCTTTCCTTCATCCCATCACCACTCAAGTCAGGTTTCCTAAACCAAGCCTTCTAGGTCCAGTCAACCTGCATGACCATATTTGAGTTTCTTCAATCGTTTCCCTCCCTAATCTCCTTCCATGCTCCTCTCCAAGACCACTGATAGGGGAGGTTCTCCTCCCCTTTCCTCTGACCCTAGCCTATCAGGTGTCATCAGGCCTGGCTACATTGCCTTCCTCTGTGGCCTGGTAAGGTTGCTCCCCCCTCAGGGGGAGGTGATCAAAGAGCAGGCCAATCAGATTATGTCAGAGGCAGTACCTCTTCCCATTACTATGGAACCCACTTGGGAGACTGAGCTACCATGGGCTACATCTGAGCAGGGGTTCCAGGTTATCTCCATGCATGATTCTTGGTTAGAGTATCAGTCTCATAAAAGACCCCTGGGCCCAGATTTCTTGGTTATGTTGTTTTCCTGGTGGAGTTCCTATCCCCTCCAGATCTTTCTATCTCCCCTTCTTTCATAAGATTCCCTGCACTCTGCCCAAAATTTGGCTATGAGTTTCAGCATCTGCTTTGATATCCTGCTGGGTAGAGTCTTTCAGAGGCTATTTATAAGTGGATAGTAGACATATAATATAGGATAAACATATTAAAATATTTACTTCTAAAGAAACTAAGCAAGAAGGAAGACCCTGGGGAAGATGATCAATCCTCACTCAGAAAGGCAAATGGGATGAACATTGGAAAGGGGAGAAAACAGGGAACAAGACAATTCTTTAAAGTATAACTTATACACAGAAAGATCTATGTTCTATAAAGAGGTTTATATTATATAGTTCTATACAGTCACAAAATCACCTAGGGTGTTCTGAATACCATAATGCAACAAGGAAGAAAGCTGTATTTTGAAAATAAAATAACTCATTGGCTCATATATAGAATGTTAAGAATTGTGAAAGTACATCCCTGGAAAGTACATCCCTATGATCAGAGGATCATAGCCTCACCCTACTGCTAATTTCCCCCAAACCCACTGCCTGTGGTTAAAGATGCAACCTCTCAGCTTCTACTCTAGACACCTGGTATCACACCTTAACTGCAAACATGGACTCTGCACTTGGAACTGTAGACCAAATAAACTCTTTATCTTGTAAGTCATGTATGATCACCGTGTTTTGCCACAGCAACAAAAGTAACATATACTATGCTAACACAAATTGTGCTAATACACTAGAACAGTAACTATGGTTTAAAACACTTTTATTATTCCAGACAGTACCCTCTTGCCCTCATCCCCTGACAACAATAATCTATTTTCTATCCCTATACATTTGGCATTTCCAGAATGTCTAGAAATAGATTAACACATCATACAAAACGTTTTAGTCTGACAATATCCAATCTCAAGTATTATACCTCTCTGTGGTACTAAAGATGATGGTCATTTTCATGATATCAGAGACATTTTTACAATGTCTTTTTTATACAGTCATTTTATTTTCAAAATACAGCTTTCTTCCTTGTTGCATTATGGTATTTAGCCTCCAAGCATAAAGCATAGCAGGCTGTCTTACAGTTTTTTCATGCTCCTTCCACCCACTATACTACAAGCTAAGAAGTCCTATTTCTTGACATTGTCTTTTTGCAGTCTTAACTCTATCTAGTGTAGGTAATAGTATAGATGACAAAATAAAGGAAGATGACAAATAACATCTGTGTGATCCATGTCCCTATGAAGTAGACTGAAGACTCAAAAGCAATATAAGACTACAAAAGATCCAAAAAAATGTGATACCAGCTAGTCCCTGCAAAGGCTCATGAGACTATCTATGCCAATATATTCGGCAATACCATTCCTTCTTTTTATCAGAAGATGACACAAATGTGGAGTAAATTTGTCATACTCTTTCTAACACTATTTTTCTTACATCCCGCCATTTCCTTTGCACTGTAGTCTAGAAAGTACAGAGTCATAAATACATGCATTACACGATTGCAGAAGCAATTAGACCACATGAAGTAAAATATTTAGTGAATTCTATGATACTAGCTGGAAAGTCAGATAACTACTTGAATCATTAATATTAATATAATTAAAAATGCAAATTAAGTCTTCATGACAGAAAAATAAAATATTAATATCCTCAATGCGTTCAAAATACTCACTGAATTCTCCAGTAAGAAAAACTCCTTCTGCTCCTGGGGCCCATTCTTTGCAGTACATGCCACCATCAGCACATCTGTGGATGCCAAATGATTCATAGCTTCTGGAGAACTTATCAATACCACCTTCATTCTCCCCGATGTCATGCAAAACCTGGTTAAACTTCTTATACCTTTGAAAAAGTATAAGAGAAATAAAAGAAGTTAGAAATTTTGGCCTTCCAATAAAAATAAGTGAAATAGTCAAATAATATACTCAAATCAGCAAGAAAATAAAATTACTCTACAGCGGAGTTTCACACAGTTTTCCTACAACATGGCAAGAGGTTTTGCCAGCCATCTGGCCTCTTTGTCAAAGCTACTCCATGTGTCTCTGAAGCATGAAAGAGGCAACAAATAGTATGTTAATGAAAGTCTTGGTCCTTTCTAATAACCATGTATTTATGAAAATAGGAAGACGCAGGTCATCTAGCATTACCCTAAATCATCTGACCATGGAAAGAACTATAACATGTCAAATCACAAAAGCCAGTAAGTATAGAGTGAACTGAAGATTCCCAAACAGATAGGCATAGCACAGCACATGGCTGCTCCTGCCCCACCTCCAGTTCCCAAGGATTCTAGGATCTTTACTAGTTCATCTAAAAAATAAATAAACAAACAAATAAATAAAGCAGAAAACTACTTATTTTCACTAATTAATCTTTACATATGATGCAAACTTAGAAAAAGTAATTAGGAAAACTAAAGTAATTAATTGTGAAGTTAATTGTCTTAGGGTTACTTAAGTTGTAATGAAACACCATGACCAAAAGGAACATAGAAAGGAAAAGGCTTATTTGGCTTCCAAATCACTGTTTATCACTGAAGCAGGTCAGGCAGAAACTCAGACAGAGCAGGAACCTGGATGCAGGAGCTGACGCAGGGGCCATGGAGAAATGCCACTTATTGGCTTGTTCAAAGTTGCTTGCTCAGCCACATAGAACCCAAGACCACCACCCCACCATCCCAGGGGAGGTCCCACCCACAATGGGTTGAGTCCTCCCACATCAATTACTAATTAAGGAAATGTCCTATAGGCGTGCCTAACGCCGATGTTATAAAGGCATTTTTTTCAACCTACATTCCTTCCTCTTTAATGACTCTAGCTTGTGTCAAATTGACATAAAACTAGCCAGCACACAGATCTTTCATGTAAAAAGAACAGGTGCCAGAACTGCAAGATGAATTCCTTTACAGCATTTTCTGTAAACCTGAGGGTGGAGAGACAATAAACTTAGCAGTTGAGCTCAAGAGTCTGTTCTGCAGCCTGACTGGGCAGTAGCCACTTAATATTTTTTTTTTTGTAATTTGCATTTACCTGGTGTTGCAGGAATTTGATCACACTGTGAATCTTGAGATTGTGTACTAGAAAGATCTGTTTCTAACTGTGATATGACTGGGACCTAGCACACACCAAGAGCTTTCTGTAAAATAAAGTCAACCATAGGTCAAGCCATAGAACAAGCAACCAGTTGACAGGGAGTGAACATAGGAAAAAAAATACAGAGAGTGAGAGGAAGTCAGCAGTATGGAAAGAGAGATGCACAGAGGTGGAAAGGAAGGACATTCAGTTTGAAGAGTTTTTAAGACAGCATGAAGAAGGGACTTTTTCCTTCTGGGATGTCAACTAAGTAAGGAGGTTAGCAGGCTGCTTTCTCTGCCTCTCTGAGCTTGCATCTGGCTTTTACTCCAATATCTGACCTTCCTTTGCAAGGTCCCTTTTCTCAGTCTCCCTTACTTTGCTCTCTTTTTCTTTTATAAAGTGTGAGTAATACATTAAGAAACCAGACTTTATAATGTGTATGATTTTATATTATTAAGTCAGCTAGACATTCTTATACAATATTTGTAGGAATTTCACTTGGTATGTAAAACTATGTTTATACAACTATATTTATGGAACTGAAACCGTGTGAAATAGAGCTTTGGAACTAACTGGGTTTCTCAAATAGTCATGGGATGAGATCACATATGGAAACTAATGAATGAGAAGACAGCATTGCAAATTAGCAAGAAAAAATGTCATGTTTATGATACTCCAACCAAGGACTATGCATGGAGATAACCTAAGACCCCTGCACAGATGTAGCCGATGGCAGTTCAGTATCCAAGTGGGTCCCATTGTAATAGGAACAGGGACTGTCTCTGACATGAACTGATTGGCCTGCTCTTTAATTACCTCCTCCTGAGGGGGAAGCAGCATTACCAGGCCACAGAAAAGACAATGCAGCCACTCCTGATGAGACCTAATTGAGTAGGATCAGAAGGAAGGAAAAGAAGTCCTCCCCTATCAGTGGACTTGGGGAGGAGCATGCATGCAGAGGATGGAGGAAGGGAGGGATTGGGACTGGAGGAGGGAGAGAACCAAAGGGGGGACACAATGTAAATAAAGTGCAATTAATAAAGAAAAATAAATAAATAAATAAATAAATAAATAAATAAATAAATAAATGGCTTGTCTAATTACATAGAAACCTGTAACTGTCATTAAGATGTCATCCTTAATACATTCATTTCTAAATATATCAAAATTATAAACATTAAATAATTAATTACAGAAAAAATAAAAATAAACAAAGATGGTCTAAATCTAACCCTTCAGTTCCATTCAGGATGGATAGGATACAGTTGGGAATGAGAAGGGGGAATTTTTTTCAAAAAATTTTAGAATACAAAGGACTAATCTGACATGCAATATTAAATTTTCTTTCCTAATTTTAATTTTATTATAATTTATTCATTATATAACCAGATTAAAGTCCCCTCCCTCAACGCCTCCCAATCCTACCCTCTTCCTCCCTATCTCCTTCCCCTAGTTCTCCAAAAGAGGGAGTTCTCCCCCTCTGCCATGTGTCTATAGCTTATCAAGTCTCATCAGGACTGCCTAGATCCTCTTCCTCTGTGACCTGGTGAGGCCACAATGCCAGTGCAAGTGATGAAAGAGCAGGCAAGTTCATGTCAGAGACAGACCCTGCTCCCCTTACTCAGGAACCCACATGGAGACTGAGCTGTCTATTGGCTACATCGAGCAGTAAGGGGGTCTAGGTCCTCTCCATGCATGGTCCTTGGTTGGTGCATCAGTCTCTGCAGGACACCATGGGCTAAGACATTTTAGCTTTGTTGGTCTCCTTGTGGGGCTTCTGTCCCCTCCGTGTCTTTCTATCCTCCCCTAATTCCAAAGACTCCCTGCACTCTGCTCATAGTTTGGCTATGAGTCTCAGCATCTGTTTCCATCCCCTGTTGGGTGGAGCCTTTCAGAGGACCTTTCATAATAAGCTCCCATCCTGTTTCCTCTCTTCCACTACTTCTGGTGTCTATCCTGTTTGCCATTCTGACCGAAAGTCCTAGAGTCCTCCTTACTGTTTAGCTTTTCTAGGTCTGTAGATTTTAATATGGCTATTCAATATTATATGGCTAATATCCACTTACAAGAGAGTCTTTCTGTTTCTGGGTTACCTTACTCAGAATAATCTTTTATACTTCCATCCATTTGCTGCAAATTTCATGATTTCCTTGTTTTTAATAGGGGAGTAGTATTCCATTGTGTAAATGTACCACACTTTCTGTCTCCATTCCTCTGTTGTGGGACATCTAGGTTGTTTCCAGATTCTGGCTATTACAAATGAGCTGGTATGAACATAGTTGAGCAAATGTCCTTGTTGAATGGTGGGGAATCTTTAGAGTATATGGCCAGGAGTAGTACTGCTGCATCTTGAGGTAGCACAGTTCCCAGTTTTTTTTTTTTTATTTAATTTTATTTTTTTCTTATCAGTTACATTTTATTAACTCTGTATCCCAGCCGTGTCCCGCTCCCTCATTCCCTCCCAATCCCACCCTCCTTCCCTCATCTCCACCGTGCCCCTTTCCAAGTCCACTGATGGGGGGGGGGAACCTCCTCCCCATTCATCCGATCCTGTTTTATCAGGTATCTTCAGGACTGGCTGCAAAGCCCTCCACTGTAGCCTAACAGGACTGCTCCTCCCTTGGGGGGTGGGGGAGGTCAAAGAGCCAGTCATTGAGTTCCTGTTAGAAATAGTCCTTGTTCCCCTCACTATGGGAAAACAATTGGTTACTGAGCTACCACAGGCTACATCTGAGCAGAGGTTCTAGGTTATATCCATACATGGTCCTAGGTTGAATGTCAGTCTCAGAAAAGACCCTGTGCCCAGATATATTTGGTCCTTGTGGAGCTCCTATCCTTTTCCCCTCATACTAACTCCCCTTCTTTCATATGATTCCCTGTACTCTGCCGGAAGTTTGGTCATGAGTCTTTGTATCTGCTTTGAAAACACTGCTAGTTAGAGTCTTTCAAATGCGCTCAGTAGACTCCTGTCATATGTTCAATGCGCATCCCATCTGTCTTTCTAAACGAGTGTGGAGAGCCGCTTGGGCATGCCCGGGCAAAACGCCATTACAAGATGGTGCCGACATCCGGCTCTGACCCTGGAAGACAAGTAATATTACGCATGCGCAAGGGCAAAAGTGCGCCAAGTCTTGGCCCAGCCCAGGGCGTCTTGTGAGGTAATGAGTAAGCAGCCAATCATAGACCACACGCCGCCTTAAGGTGTATATAAGCAGTGCCATTCCTGGGCTCGGGGTCTTCCTCTCTCATCGCTTGACTGCAATAAAGCTTGCTGCAGAAGAATCCTGTTGTCCGTGTGCGTTCTTGCTGACGAGACGACCACGCAGGTTGCAACAAACGAGGATTGATCATCTTACCCCATGTCCACTCTCTTGATTATCTTTTTTAGGTGTATAGATTTCATTATGTTTGTCATATCTTATAGGTCTATATAAGTGAGTATATACCGTGTTTGTCTTTCTCCTTCTGGGATATTTCACTCAGAATGATCTTTTCTAGATCCCACCATTTGCCTGCAAATTTCATGATTTCCTCCTTTTTGATTGCTGAGTAGTATTCCATTGTGTAAAAATACCACAATTTCTGTACCCATTCCTCCATTGATGGACATCTGGGTTGTTTCCAGGTTCTGGTTATTACAAATAAAGCTGCTATAAACATGGTTGAGCAAGTATCCCTTTTGTGTACTTGAGCAAAGTTTGGGTATATACCTAGCAGTGGTATAGCTGGGTCTTCAGGAAGCACTATTCCTAATTGTCTTAGAAAGCG